GAGATATCTTAAACAATACTGGATTTAATAATTTATGGACTTTCCAAATATCATGTACAATTAATAGACAATGCTTGAAAAATATCATTAAGCAGAGATTATGCGATCAATTCATTCAAAGTTGGTTTCATGATGTTGAAACCTCCTCGCGAGGGCAAGTTTACTCCTTATTCAAATTTCAGTTTAATATTGAACCATATCTTTTAAAGCTAAATCGTAATGAACGAAAAGTAATATGTAAATTTAGAACATCAAATATAAAATTTCCTATAGAAACAGGAAGATGGAATCGAGTCCCACGCGAGGAAAGGTTATGTCCCCTATGTAATAACTGTGTTGGGGACGAATACCACTACTTATACCAATGTACTAATGTATCTGTTGTAGCTCTTAGACAACTTTATATACCAAATTATTATTATGTCAACCCAACTTATATCAAAATGAAAGGAATGCTCTCAATTTGTAACACGGTACTCTTAACAAAAGTAAGTAAATTTATACAAAGAGTAATGAAGCTACTTAATATCTAAAATAATTTAGCTAAAAGAATTATTGAAATGGGTTGTTATTGTATGAATTGTATCATGTGTCATATTATGTGAGTGCTATGTCCATCAATGTATACTATGTACTATGTGACCTCTTGTTACGCACGTATACGTGTGGCGTGAGTGTAAAAATAAAACTTGAAAACTTGGTAAATGTCACATGATTTGTGTGTGAGATGACCATGTAATCATGCTGGCAATATAATGTTGTATTTGTATCAGCTAGTTTTGTGTAAACTTACTGATATAATAAAATATTTTAAAGCTGCCATTTATAACGTTCATATTTATACTTGGTAAATCATATAACACATCATCTTCGAAATCCAAGGGTTCCAATCTCAATAAGAGCACTTACTTACGATGGCCGACAAGAGCCTGACAAAAAGATATACATTTTCATATCTTTTTGTACCATGGTACACTTTTACATGGTACACAAAGATAGGAAAGCAGAAATAAAATCAACCCGTTGCTTTTGTATCTTTCTGTACCAAAATAACGGCCGAAATCANAGCACAGGGTACAACTTGCGACGTCTGTCCTCGATTTCCGCTGGAAATTGTTCGTTGATCCAAAATCCAGAACCCTTCAGTTTCGAAGAACTGTCTCGAACAAGTTCTAGGTCCTTGTGGTGAATAAATCTAGCCACTATGGGTCGATGCTTGCCGTTCACAAACTTGCCAAAACGATGTACATTCCCAAAATCTATGTGTGAGTCAATCCCGAGCTCGTAATAAAGGAAATCACGCATGGTATCAGCCATGGTACAGAAACATGTGAAACCATCAGACGTAAAGGTTACCAAGTATGACAAATAACACCATGATAAGGCTGTCATCACATACAATGAAATGTTATCGCGCGGAATGTCTGTTATTTTGATTACACCAAATGAACTACCAAACTATTACTTCCTCATTTAAATTGAAATCAACTGTTCAATATCATTAACCGAATTTAATAAAAGTTTTACGTTAAAAAGGAAGGCATTATGGATTATTTTTCTAATACTTACATTTCGAATGTATTCTATGCGCTTCAACTTCTCAAATGAAAGAAACTCCAAATCAGTTGAAAACGCCGACGGGGTCCGTATGGGACAAGGGGACAAAAGGGGACAATCAATTTAATTACTTCGAAGAATAAATAGTCTACCCTTTTATATTTTTTGGGGGTAAATACGATGAGCTAGTTGTACGATTCTTTTATAATCTGGACATCTATCAAAATAAGGGAAATAACAAAAATATACGGATGTTCTATTTCCCTTTTGGAGACCCTGTCAAGGCCCCAATACTGACACAGTTGCAACTAACTCTGTTTTACATCAGCAGTGATTAATGAACTTCACGACTTGTTTCGACGTTGGACTTAGGGCTTCCCTATTTGGGGTCAGTTCTGGTCATAGTGTCCGATAACAACATTCCGATGCTCTGGTGGTACACTTTTTTCACATCTATTTGTACCGTAGGAGGTCGAAAAAGTAATGAGAAAAGTGTAACGCGGTACTAAAAGGAGAGAAGCTTTCACATCTTTTTGTACCGGGCAAAAGTGTACCACGGTACAGAAATATATGAAAATTCAAATCATTTTGCCGGCGGATATTGGCTGTTGGTACATATACATGTGAAAGTAAAGAGTTTTTTTGTAAAGTTGTTTATAATCTTTATGTACCATGGTACACTTTTACATGGTACACAAATATTTGAATTTATATATCTTTGTGTACCATGGTACACTTTTACATGATACACAAAGATTTTAATTTTCATATCTTTGTGTACCATATGAAAGTGTACCGTGGTACCAAAAGATATGAAAATTCATTAATGCTTGTATTGTCCGGTTAAATGTGTTCAGTTATAGTTTTGGTTATGGTTTCGTTCCAAGAGTTATCTTTCTTTACACACTCATTTTACGAGAACAAAAAACTCTGTGAGGAGGGACGTAATACCCTAGCCCACCTCGAAACACGTAACATGTAAAGGGTGGCTGGGTTGCTGGGGAGGTGCACGTGGTGCTCCCCACCCTCTTAAGGCTAGAGGAGGGATGTCTTCTCGGGGATTTTTCTCTCTCGAAAACCCATGCTGGTCTGAAGACGATCCAAAGTAGCGAGAACTTATAGACCTTTTAGCAAATAGTGGAATTCATATGTAGCTTCGTGTAAAAAAATAGTGTGTAAATAATGAAAATAAAACAATGTTTAAGCTAAGTATGACTTGTTTTGGGCAGAGTCGTATTATACGTCTCTGTTTTGGATAAACAATTTGTGTATTATATAGCTGAATTATTAAATTTCATTTCACAAAAAGAACTCCAAACCTTCGGAAAAAGACGTTTTTCTAATTGTTGAAATTCTATAAAGGTAGCGCTTGATACGATTCGTTACTATCGTAGCTCCTGAATTGTTGACCAAATGAACAAGAAAAATGAATGGATAAATAAATAGATTAAACCGATGAGGAATAATATACGCGTTATAAATATCAAAATGTCTCACTTTTGCAATTACTTCGTGCATTTTACCCATTGTAAATTATTCCGAGCAAGGGCTAGCTATGTCCCTGACTGTGAAATGATGTAATAGTTTTCAGCTGTATGTGGGAGGTGTTTCAGATTGAATTAATTGCTGATATGGCCGAGTATTCGAATCTTAAACATATGAACTGATGCCTTGTGATCATCTTTTAAAAAGTATGGTTTTCACCAGCGTTGTTAATTAAGTCTGATTTTTAAAAAAAAAGTTCAGCTATGAAGCACATACAACTTCTTCTTATAGTTTATTCTAGTATTTTACTTCTTTGTGGAAGTACGATTTTTTCTTCCTTTGCACTACAAGATATGTTGGGATATATACCTGTCGGCCATAGATACATAGATACCATGAATTAGCTCGATCAGTTATCCTCTTTGAATAATTCTACTATCTCTAGTGTTTTTTTAAAATAATGTTGATAATATGAAATTTCAAAATCAAATATCGATTTCAAAGAAAACGCGCGGGAAGGATGTGTTATCATGTAGTCAAGCATTCAAACTGCCCGCTTCGTTTACCTGCACACTTTTAGTGTCACGTGCTGGGCGCGTGCGAAGTTAGACAGATCTACAACAAGCGTTGTCAAACCAAATGAGATGGCAAATAACGATTTTAAAGTTAGAAACTACGATGAAGGTAAGATTTGTATATAGCTGAGATTGATTGTCAAGATTATAGCCTTTCAAAGATCTAGAATATCCGGTGAATTGACTTCATTCCGGAGCGTCCCCTAGTGGCATTGGTATCCGTCACATATATCGCTACTCAATACAACTGTAGTCCCATCTAGCACAGATCCCTATGATGGTGGTGAAGGTGTAACAGTTTTGTGTATATTTCAAGCTTTTTTGGAGTCAAAATAATATTATTTTTGGTGGCACAAAGTTTCACAAATACCACGGACTTGGATAAAAATCTAATTCCGTGCAAATACTAATTTAGAAAATCAAATTCTTGAGCTGTTTTAGCAATAGCTCACAGGGACCTGAGAATTTGTTACAGCTATGTTTGGACCTAAACTAAGGTGTTCAGAGTAATTTTACATGTTTAAGGGGTTTAGATCGACGTTCGGTAAAAATGACACCCCCAATGATCATGTATCCAAGAAGGGAGGAAAGCTCTTGATGTTGAAATGTCGACCCCACCTAACTTTTTTGCATCAAAAACAACATTTCTGAATGATTTACGGGAAAATGCTTAGTACTGTTGGAAAGATGGATAATTTTTCTTTTAAAAGCCTCCTATATGCACATAAAATATATTCTCCTTTCGCAGACATGAATTTTCCTCCCATCTCGAATATATCATCATTGGGGGTGTCATTTTTACCGAAAGTCGATCTTAATCCCTTAATTTACATGTAAAATTACTCTGAACACCTTAGTTTAGGTTCAAATATAGCTGTAACAAATTTTCAGGTCCCTGTGATCAGGCTAAGTTAAATCAAATATGTCTTTAGGTCAACTGAAAAGAATCTGTAATTAAATAGTCTTCATAGCAGTAATAATAATCCCCTCCTCAGTCACCTGATGTTGGGATCAAAAATATTGTTCAAATGGAAATCTCTTGGGTGTTTCAAGGTTGAAAAAGATGCACAATGAAATAATGTAAGGCAGGATCATTGTAGCTTATTGGTTGATCATTTTTGTAATTGTTTATTTTTATGTCCTTTGGTCTCGAGATTATTTACGGAGAAAATGACAAAAAAATAGTGTTTCACATTCGATACTAACATTACAATTTGTTCGTTTGTTGCTGAAATGATGGGAAATATATGTTTCTGAGAGTGAGAGCGTAGGTGAGCGTAACCCCTGGATATCGCGGATGGTGGTTGCATGATTATTTTCACTTCACATCCTGAATTCTTCTATATTTTTATAGCACAGGGGCCAGATGTCTGTGTCTGTGGTTTTTAATGTGTCTGGTCCCTGTGCTTTATGAAATTCCACACAATACATATGTGTTCTCTTTGGTATGCATCTTACAGATAAAAAAGAGATTATCATGTTTCACATTCGATAAATCATTGAACATGTGTCCTGCCAGCAGATAGTGAATTGGCAGAATTCATGCATACTTGGTGGAATGTGAATTTTTATTATCTCATCATATTATAAATATAATGTTTCACTATGGTTGTTTACAGCCTGAAACCCATTAGGTATAGCCGTTTTTAGGGATGGTCAGTCGTCTGTCTGCTGGTATCAACTTTTTACTTTAAACAATTTCTTGTGAATACCTGCATTAATGATATTTGGCAAGTAGATAAAGGGGTATATATAGTTTGTTCAAATAAATGCTTTGATCCACTTTCAAGGTCGCTGTGGTCAGATTTGTTAGAGTTCTTCAGAACTTCTGTTGTATGACCAAATGACATATAGGTTGATGATGAGCCCCAGTTTTCTCTGGTCCTGATACCAGACTTAGACATTTTAAACTACACCATGCACACATCTTCCTTTCTAAATGTTCAAGTCTGGTGTCGAAGCCAGAGGAAGGTTGGGCAGCTAGTTGATGATATTTAGTCAGCAGCGTACATGGATAAAGGCTATCAATTTTGTTGAAATAGTTTTAATTATCTTGACCCAATTTCAAGGTCACAGGGGTCAAAATTGTTTAAACCTGTGAACAATGACTTAATAACCAAGATATCTAGGGTCGTGATATTTGGCCAGTAGCATGTTGTAGTGGAGAGCAATTGTATTTGTACAAATGAATGACTTTGACCTGCTTTCAAGGTAACAGGCCATGGGGTCAAATGTGTTAGCACTTTTAAACAAGTTGTTATGCATTTTAACCAAGAGGTCTAGGGAGAGAACACTTAACCTGTAGCATGCTGTGACAAAGGGCTATTGAACATCTTCAAGTAAATGACCTTGACCTACTTTCAAGGTAACCGGGGTGAAAAAAGCCAAAACATATAAACTACTTATTCTGAATAATGCAGAGGCCTAGTACATGTGTAAAATTTGACCTGTAACATGTTAGGATCCTATCTAGTTAGTTAAAGAAAACATTTTTGTTCCACCTTCAAGATCACAACTAAATGTATGAAACCCTTTAAACATATTTCTCCGAATAACAAAAAAGAATAGTGTCATATTTTGTCTATTGCATATTAGGGTAGAGGGCAACGAAGTTTGTTTCATGAATTTGATTTTGTCATACTTTCAAGGTCACAGCGTTGAATATCAGTGAGCTATACAAGCCCATTGGGCCTCGCTTCAGTTCATGCAAACAAATTAAAAAAAATGACAATAATGAATACCAAAATGCAGCATGAATCCTCTTTTAAAAATAGAAAACGGCAATGGATTTGAACACCCAAAACATTTTACACAATTAAAAATAGTTAAGTTTTTTTAGTATGGAAGAATTACTGTAGATGTGAGTTTTATCAGTAATTGTTCTGGTTGCTGTTTTCTTTCACCCAAAATCTGGGTCCCTGTGATGGGAAGTGATGGCAAGCGTGTGGGTGAGTAACCTTAGATAGAGAGGGAATAAGGGCTCCCTGTAGGGAAATTAATCAGTCATTAAAAAGGGGCAAATAAGGGAATATTTTTCATAGATTTTCTCTTCTATAAAGCCCAAAATTTTGGTTCATCAAGTTAACACATTACGTTAACACACTGCCTTATCAGAAAACTGAAAAAGATGCAAATAGAAATTTTCAAAATGAAAACTTTTTTTTGTCAGAATGCTTTTAGACTTCAAGCAGGTGCTTCATTTTCATTATCTCTTCTCAAGATAGAAAATCTTGCAGAAATTTGTTATCCACCTGATAATTATTTTCTGTCTAAAATGTTTTAAAAGTTTTCTTGGAGTTTTAATGTAATTTAATTCAATTACTTCTTATTTTTAGTGATTTTAAATAACATATGCATGTGTGTAATTGTTTGGTTCGTGCCTGTACCCTGATACGATTTAACGATAGTGTATATGTTTAATAATTTAAATAATTTCCCTGACAAAACCTTTGGTTTATGCTGGTAACATTACTGGGTTCACACAAACACCAATAGGGAGCTGTTGTTACCTGATACCTATCACTGAGTTGAAGCTTTTACAAAAAAGAAAAAAATTCCATACAACTAAAGTTAACTTGTTGCGTTTTGGAAATGAAATAAAAGAATACATTATGATATCAATGTGATGCTAATAAGAGTTAAAGTGACACTCTGGCTGGAAGGGATGTGAAATAAGTGTTTAATTGACAAAACTCCGCTCTGTAGAAAATTTAAGATTTGCAATGTTTAAAAAGCAAAACAAAGCGCAGTCTTAGAGAAAAAAGCATACTCCATGCATCTGTCCCAAATTGTAGATTTACTTTTAGATATTTCGAAGAAATGTACTTTGGAAGGTGATTGTATTCATGTTTGAATAACGTTGATTTAATTTGCACTGTGATAGATAAAACAGACAGTCTGCTGGTCTCACTAATAAATAGACAATGGTAACGCTACTTTTACCGAAACTTTCTGTCAAAGAATAACAATAAACACATTTTCCAGTTGTATCATTTGGTGTCATTTATAAGGAATGTTATATTAAATAATGTGTTAATAATTAATATTATGTTTTCAAAAATGATAAGAGACTTTTATGAGCCAACAATATTTCTAATTTGTACTTGTGTAATATAAATTTTTATAACCAAATACTGTTTACACTGGACTGCTAGGCTTTAAGCAAATACTTTAAGATGTTTAATATATTCGAAAAATGAGATTGATCACATCATTTTTATGATTTCACATTTATTTGTTGAAACAATAAAAGCAATTTTAAATGTGTATTGAAAATAGGAATATTCTGCTTTTTTTTAGTTTTATGACCTTCTGACAATTGATATTATCAATCTGGTAAAGTTGTATTGGAGTAAAACCAAGGTTTCATTTATTAGCTGGTAAATTAATGCCTGATATCTTTTCAATATGGGTTATCTCCCCTGTACTTCGTTCTTACATGTATATCAGTTCATTACAAAGCCACTTTAAATTAATGAAATTTGTCTCACAGATCAACCTCTTCTAAAGCTTGTGTGGAAGTCTCTGTGTAGGTCATAAATAAGTTTTCTTTGGAAAAATGGAGAAAAAAAAATTCATTGTGATAATTTGAACTGCACAATCAACATTATTTTGAAGCAGTGTCACTGTCGAATGCTTGGTAATATAATTTCAATTGACATCGTTATTGATCATAATGCTACATTGCAAAGCATGTGATGCAGTTTCCTTTTTTTTAAGGAAGAATGATAAGAATATATTGATCAATGGTATTGTAAAAACAGTAAAAAGCAATATAATCTCCCAATGGAAATGTTTGAAACTTCCTTCAAGTTCTAGGTATGACAGACAAAGAATTTCAGGATGCTGCTGTTGGGTAAAGTCAAATGTTACTATTTTTAGAGAAAAATGTATCCCATTAGTGACTTTATGACCTCTCCTAATGGGTATAACCATAAATCTGAATTCATACAAGTTTTTAGTATTCCTAAGAAGAGATGACAAGACAACATCAAATTGGGAGTCTCGGCAAATTTAATCCAATTTTAATGTTTTCAGCCCCCAAAGTTTGAAGTATGACGGCACCTCAAATGATGCCAATTTGTAAGGTCAAGGTCAAGTTTGTGGACTCCTTTACTGTATTTAGAAATCACAAGCCATTTCTGTAGCACCTTAATGTTTCGACAAATATGGATGAAAGTTCATACATGTTATATAACTTAAAAAGTTGGTTGTGTATATTATAGTGATTTTCCTAACTACTTTTTGGGGCCGATAGTGGGCTCCATTCCCAATTAGAACTATTTCACATTATGCCCAATTCCAAAAATGTGCAGGTTTAAATACTCCTGAAAATTTCCTTCCCGATTGGTATATTTTCTTCCCAAATCAAACTGAACGGGAAAAACCACCTGATATATGCATCTGTATTGTTTATGATTCCTTGTTGAATAAGGATTAGCAATTTTATTTGAAAGCAAGAAGTATCTTTATAAACATACACTGCAGAATGTTTATGGTCATTTAATTCAGTTGTTTGCATGAGCAGGTTTGAGTGTACAATGTACATGGTTTTAAGTCTAAAATAGTTGTGTTCCTACACCGCTACTAGCATGGACAGTGCTGATTGTTGAACGGATCAGTCTTAAGTCATAGAACTTTCAAGGGTATTACAGATGCTTTACGTCTCCCTATCGAATATCGAGTAGAATACCTAGATGTTAAAGCTTGATACTGTTGTTATGTTGTTTTGAGAGATGCAATGCATAAGATAACATAAGGTATGCTGTTATGATGTACGTAAACATTCAAAGCGTGAATCTTGAGATGTACATACAAAATTGTACAAATTGTTTCTTCAGTAACAGCTTTCTTCTGTTTGTATCTTAAATCAAATCCATATTTTGTAGAAACTATTCATTATTCTGCTCTGTTTATGTGAAATGATGCAAGTGGAATCCCAGAATGATCTCAAACCACCCCATCAAAAAAACGTTTTGCTACGCATTGTAACTGAGTTATAAATTATTGAGTCAAACAATTTAAAGACCTAAGTTTATTACATAAAATGTCCCAAAGATAATCCATTAAACAGTAGTGGTTTTGGGGTTAAATGTAAACATTAAACAGTAGTGGTTTTGGGGGTAAATGTAAACATTAAACAGTAGTGGTTTTGGGGGTAAATGTAAACATTAAACAGTAGTGGTTTTGGGGTTAAATATTAACATTAAACAGTAGTGGTTTTGGGGTTAAATATTAACACTAAACAGTAGTGGTTTTGGGGTTAAATGTTAACATTAAACAGTAGTGGTTTTGTGGTTAAATGTTAACATTAAACAGTAGTGGTTTTGGGTTTAAATATTAACATTAAACAGTAGTGGTTTTGGGGTTAAATGTAAACATTAATCAGTAGAGGTTTTGGGGTTAAATGTGAACATTAAACAGTAGTGGTTTTGGGGTTAAATGTGAACATTAAACAGTAGTGGTTTTGGGGTTAAATGTTAACATTAAACAGTAGTGGTTTTGGGGGTAAATGTAAACATTAAACAGTAGTGGTTTTGGGGTTAAATGTTACCATTAAACAGTAGTGGTTTTGGGGTTAAATGTAAACATTAATCAGTAGAGGTTTTGGGGTTAAATGTGAACATTAAACAGTAGTGGTTGTGGGGTTAAATGTAAACACTAAACAGTAGTGGTTTTGGGGTTAAATGTAAACATTAATCAGTAGAGGTTTTGGGGTTAAATGTGAACATTAAACAGTAGCGGTTTTGGGGTTAAATGTAAACATTAAACAGTAGTGGTTGTGGGGTTAAATGTTAACATTAAACAGTAGTGGTTTTGGGTTTAAATATTAACATTAAACAGTAGTGGTTTTGGGGTTAAATATTAACACTAAACAGTAGTGGTTTTGGGGTTAAATGTTAACATTAAACAGTAGTGGTTTTGGGGTTAAATGTTACCATTAAACAGTAGTGGTTTTGGGGTTAAATGTAAACATTACACACTAGTGGTTGTGGGGTTAAATGTAAACATTAAACAGTAGTGGTTGTGGGGTTAAATGTAAACATTACACAGTAGTGGTTGTGGGGTTAAATGTAAACATTACACAGTAGTGGTTGTGGGGTTAAATGTAAACATTACACAGTAGTGGTTGTGGGGTTAAATGTAAACATTAAACACTAGTGGTTGTGGGGTTAAATGTAAACATTAAACAGTAGTGGTTTTGGGGTTAAATGTGAACATTAAACAGTAGTGGTTTTGGGGTTAAATGTTAACATTAATCAGCTGGTTGATTAACACTTCGCTTTGACTTATTTGAACTGTGGAACATGGAAGTTTGAATATTGGTACCAAGTTTTTCAAGCTTCAATTGTTGCCTAAAAATATTCCTGATGGACTGATTCCTGATTTGTAAATGATGTTGATCACCGAGTTAATTGACAATGATCATACAAAATTTGCATTCTTAAATTTCCACCTCAAACAAATCTTACATCTGAGGACTCGTTGTTAAATGATGTGAATCACTTAATTGACAAAGTTATACAAAATTGTGGCAGAAAAAAACCCACCAAATTGTTTATCATAAGGTTTTTCCAACATCTGTTATTCTAAAACACCTAAAGTTAACATCCTTTTATCATATAACCTCTATTTACACTAAGGCCAAGATCAAAGTTTTCAAAAGCGCTGATCCTTTTGGAAAGTGGGTTTGATTACTTGTCCATTTTTTTGTGTAGAGATGGGTACGCTTCCTTGAATTAGCCTGTGTAATAGTATGGTCTTCCAGCAGGTTAGTTTCCCTGCCTGTTGTGTACTTGTTAAGTAATAGAACACTTTGCACTTACAGTAATATTCAGTCAGCAATTTTGCCTGGTGCCATTGGGCAAGTAGACATAAATTTTCACTTGCTTGCAGACCAAAATTGCTGATCTGTAATTTCTCTTGCCTCGACACTCTTTTCATTACTTACAAAGATCATGTCAAGTCCCCGCTGAGTTCAATTGCAAGTGTAATGCATGTATATTTATGCAAAATTAACAAGGCTTCCCAATTCTGATTGGTTAAACGGTTACTGTGCAAGAATTCTAAAAATGGTTTGATTTCAATCAAATATGGTATGCGCTTACATAATGTTAAGTCTTGGGTTAAGTTTGAAGGTCATTGGCCAATGGGATGTATGCATGTTTATCAATAATCAATTAGACTACTTGATTCTGATTGACTAATTGATTTCATTTCCTTTGGTTTTGTTGAATACATCCCAATAACACATCTTTACTTCCTGTGGTATCTCAAACAGAACAACCAGAGGCATGAATTCAAAACATATAAGCCAATTCCCAAACAGCATTTTTCCGGGACGTCACCGTAAAATATTCTCCTCCTCCAGAACTCTGTATCTACACCATACCTCTGAAGCTATAGATTTAAACATTTTGCTTCGTTTCTTACTATTATTGAGTATGAGTTATGATAAAATAATTTTCTTACTTTGAAGCCTTTTCGATCTCCTGTTTAATTTTTCCACCCTTTGACATTTATCAGCATACTTATCAACTCTTCCTATTTTTGGAGGGAGATTCTAGATTTGGGACCATAAAATTAAACATTTTCAACCAGTTTGATTTGCTAAAAAAAGTATTTTATCCATAAGGGGTATGTACACATATTTTATCCCTAAGGGGTATGTACACATGTTTTATTTATGTTTTTAATTTTGAGCACACAAAATCTTCCTTCATAGAAATTACAATAGTTAGCAAGTATGTTTATCAGTTCGTTATTTTTTCAAAACTTGATCATGCTAAGTAATCTGTGTTGGAGAGCAGCAATCAACCAAACACTGGCAATGAAACATAACCATTGTCTTATCATGTAAACGTTGGCTGGCTGCAGTGTCTAGACCATTCTGACATTGTACCTTAATTGGAATAGAATGCTTTCATTGTGGAAAATCTTAAACATTTCATTTTGATATTGTTTAGTTTTCAAGTAGGCGACAAGCCTTTAATTTTTATCTGTCATAGGAAAAAACAAGTATGCTATAGCAGGAAATTATCGCCTGGTCAAACTTTCACCTTCGCCCATAAAATCAATTTTTGTCTACGTAGTGCTAATTTTGCCCTTCACATTTAATTACCATTGTAATGCTTTTTACTTATACTTGCCTTCATTACGGAGAGTAAAAAATATGAAAACTGAACTGCAGCAAAAATGTCCTGGTATACAGCATTGCTTAGGATTTCAGTAGTGTGTTATTGACTTATTAAATGAAATCCAATCATGTAAACATGTTTCTGAACAGTGCTAATGAGCCATTTTGTACAAAATCCATTGATGTTTTCTTTTCTATGGGATATTGTCAAAATACATATACAGCATATTCAATGTTTAATGTTTATGGCTTTGCCTAAATTTAATAAATCTGTTTTGTATGTTATCAAACTTGTATTTATTTTCTGATAATACAGCTGATTATTTTATATTTTGTTCACACTTTAAGTTCAGTAGTCTTTATATTGAGTTTTCTGTTAAAGAAATTTGATAAAAAAAAATGTAAAATTGATCAGGATTAGTGAAAGTAAAATATAATTAATTTATAAGGCTTTCAGAGTTTCTATAATTATTTATTTGTTCTCTCAATGTAGAAGGTATAAGTTATCATCTGTTGACAATCAGATCAGCAGAAAACCCTTAATGTTTTTAAGCAGCAGTTGCTTATTTTCTTGTTAGAATGAGATAAATATATAAATTTACTGAAACTAATGAAGTAATTGATAGTTTTAGAATCATATTATTCGTACACAATTTTATATTTAAGTTACTATGTTGGACTATTTTGAAACATGAAATAGTGGAAATATCTTTTGTTGATTTTCAGGAACAGAAGATATTGGAGCTATGCCAGAAGGATTATCTTACCTTTTAATGTTAAAAGTTGAATTATCCTTCAAAACAACAAAGATCTTGGAAAACATAAAATGTAGAAATAAACATTAAATGATGAATGGTTCCATAAACGATCGGTCAAATTTCTGTCTTCCAGACTTCAAATCATGGAAATGGAAGTATTCCATCAGCAAAGAGACGGACAAATCATCTTGTTTGGGACACAAACATGTGATATCCGACGCTCGGGACACCTTTCATTTCTGGTATGTTAAATATTTTTTAAGATATTTTTTCTTCTTCAGAGATGTTATATAATTATAGTTCTTGATTTGTCTGGAACAAGCAAGCAGCATTGACCGTTTAACATAAAATATGGTAATTCTGTCAACAAATTCTTGGAAAAACTTAACTCGTTAAATATCTAATTCGGCTTTATGAGATAAATGGTATTTTACTATTCAGGATAACACTGTAACGTTATTAAGGAGGAAAGCATTGGACTCTAACCTAGTGTAGACTATTGTCTGTTGAACCTGGTGACATGATAGAAGTGAACTCTAGGACGAGCGATTGGTCTGATATGCGGATGATGTTTTTTGATAATTGCTCGTAATTGCAAACATTTTGTCGCCATAGTTATAATCGAGATAAGATAAATGCCCAAAATTTTGTATTTTATGATGTTCCTGCGTTGCAACATGTTGCAATATGGAATGAACATCACAGGGCATTTAGGTGCAGATTCGATCAAATAGGAACGTCTCATAATTGGCATTATATAATCGCGCCATAATGATATGCGTGCGCAGCACATATCCTCGTAGGTTTGCTGTCTTGGTCTGTCATTTTAATCATCCCATTCCACCATGATCACAGAAAATGTCCACGGGATAACTTGGTGCATAGGTAATTATCAATCTTGATCACATTTGAAGTTTTTCAGATGAAAGGCAAATGTGGTATGTAAATGTTATATCAAGGATGTAATGGTGTTATTCAGGGTGACAGAGCTGAGATGTGGAATCCCCAAGATCTAGCTTGGACAAAGGACAGCCGTAAGTATTGATAAGTCTAGTTGATGCATTACACCGATCGGTCTTTTACAGATTCCTGCATTTGAAGAATTCTTGCCGAGGCGTAGATGTATAACCGCCTGTGTGAATGGCTGCGATATATTCCGTACAATGAAGGACTGCATTGTTGAATGAAAGATGTGAAATTGATATGTAGGCAGTGGTGGCCTATCTTGAGAAAATCTTCAATTCACTAAGTTATTTATTTGTTATCTTATTTTTTTGTGTAGGTAATTAGCTGTTAGGGAAATGTGATACCTTCAAGTCCAGTTAAAATCATGTTTAAGTGTTAAGTTTGAATTCAGCACGGAGAAAATCTACCACAGGAATAGAATAGAAAGAATAAAACACAGTAACATTTATATATCTGCAGTTATGACCCTTATGCACTGTTTTAGATTTTATCCATTATTTTCAGAAAAATATGTTTTATAAAAGGTATATTTTAAAGGTTTATATTTCCATCAACATGGATTTTGTATAAGTAATTCAAAAGATAAAATGACTTTTTATTTGACAAGTCTTTAACAAAGTCTATTTTGTTCATTAGAAATATATTTATTTATGTCTCAAGTCATTTCATAATTCATACATAAATAAACAAATCAGCATTTAAAATAAACACCGGCTAAAGCAGTACGAAATGACTCGTTCAATATTTAATGTGTACAATGTATAAATCATCATGAAGACCTTGGTATCAGGGCTGTCATATTAATTTGTATTTCTCTGTATAAAGAAAACGTAGTGTAAGCACTTGAAAAACAATATAGCAGCTGTGGTTGTGTGTTTAAGATTATAAATAATATATTTGTCATGAACTGGAGACAAATGCTTAAGAATGATAATATTGAATATTGATCAAAGTGTTAGTTCTCAAAAACAAATAAACAACTTTTTGTTTGTTCAAGATAGAAACTACAATACTACACTGAATTCAAATCTGGATAAATAAGAACAAAAAATAATAGTTTCCTTTTTTTCTGATTGATGAATTTATTTGGATTGCTTTGTTTATAAGGACTCCATGGTTTATTACATCAATACAGATAAAAACAATAGACATTCAAAATGGTTTTTGAAATGTTTTTCAAATTGAAAGAATTAAAGTAACAATTTTGAAATGTCAATTATAAATTAATTGTTTTATAGTAATTGATATGAAAACAAAGACATAATTCTCATTTATCTGTAAAATTCTGGTTTTATGACCAGAAAATAGTTTAAACTGTTAAACATGATATTTCTTTTCTAAAACTTGAACAGAGAAAATTTGACAATTTCAAGTGAGATATACTGGTTTCAGAGTAACAAAATGTCTAACTTGTTCAACAGAAATAATATTTTTCTTCTGAGATCTTTGGATTTTATAAGAAAAAGTGTTAAAATGGTTTATAAATTACATCTTTTGGACAATACCAGTAGTTAAATTAAGCCGACCAATTATGGTACATTAAAAAATAAAATTTCATACAGCCGAATTTCATATGAGAATAGCATACATTCTGTTTACTGTACCATGGACATAAAAATAGTTATAAAGTTGAAACAGAACAAGGCATCCTTTGTTATATTTTGTATCTTTTTTGTCATAAACAACAACAGCAGTAAATATCTAATTGAATAAATTTGATGTACAAATGTGAAATTAATTTGAAAGAGAAAAACAGTAAAAAAAGTTAAAATATTTAAACTTTATATTAGGCGGACCGGACATCGATGGGTTCTACGAGCAGTTCAAGTAAAACTTGAAAACAAAAAGCAAATTTTTAAAATGGTTTCTGATGCAGATCAACTTGAAAATTTAAATCAACAATGTAATGATAAGATAAAAATGGAGGGAGAGAGTAGGAGAGGATATATGGGAGGAAACGAGGAAGAAACATTAATAGTGATCTCCATCATAATAACATGTAGAAACAAGAATTAATATACAAATGGAAGTGATGTATGGTAAATAGTCATTCACATGAACACATACAGCCAGGAGTGAAATAATATGGACAAGAAATCGGGACTTATTCCCAGTAGATTTTGAAACCTGGATTATGAGAATACGTTAATTATAACTTATGTAGAACAATTACAGAGAACTAACTTTTAATTTAAATCATTTATTTATTCCTGAGTTCGGCGTAAAGAAAGTAACATATATTGACGGCTGTACTTGGATGAGTCACATTCATATGATATCTTAGTTATATAAGTGTTTGTGTATAACTAATGTAAATGTGACATAAAGACACAAAAGCTTACATCCAAAGTTCTCTCATTATCTTATTATAGGACACAAATTAATATATTTGTAATTTTTCAACTGAAGGGGGGGAAAAAATAAGAAATATCGATGTACATAAGAAAGTGACCCAGAAACGATCAAATAAAATAAAATAAAATAAAATTTAGATTTAAATCGGAGTAAAGTAATTTCTATTCATTTTAGTTATATTGTTTAAAGAAGGTATCATATACAGAACCCTACAAAGATGTAGAATGTTGTAGACTGATATTTTTGTGTAATTGTAATGATTAACAAGATGCATCCTTTTCTGATGAGGAAGTTATACAAATATTCATCAATTTTCATTCTCCATAAATCTTTAAATGATCTAAATATTCATTAATACCCTGGCTCCTTAGATCCACCGTTTTCACCGATATACTACTTCAGGGATAAGAAAGCAGGGTTCAGTAGCAAGACTAGAAGAGCATGAATATGTAAATTTGTGATCTGATGGGTGATTAAATTATATCATAAAACAATCTGTTATGCTGAGCCTGAATCAATATACATACTGAGGATTGTGTCTGAATTTTAAATTAACCTTTAGAAATAAATATATTGAGTAAATATTAAGATGTTTAAAATCCCTTGAATTAAATCTTTCATCTTTAATTATCAATTTCAAATTTGAACACAATTGTTTATTGACAAAGAGTCAGTCAAGGGTATCAGATATCAGAATAGGCCTCATTGTTAAATCTTGCAGTCACTTAAAGACTTTATTTTGACCTGAAAAACGGAATTTTAAATTTTATAAATACAAAAAAAACAAAATTTGATTGAGATGTAACAATTTAAAATCAGAAGAATATTTAGATTCTTTTAGAAGGTAACAACAACAGCAAAATCGGTAATTTTTAAACTGATTACTACAGTTGTGGGATTGCACAACGTTACACGATGTGCGGTGTGCGCACGATGTGTGCATTGTGTGTGAACGGTGGCCGAACGATATAAAGCTGGACGATCATTGCTTGCGCACATCTGTGCACACGATGGACGGACGTTGTGCGATAACAATCGTGGTTGGTGTAAATTGAGGAATGCTTTAACAATTTATACGGTTTCGTGTTTAACCATATAAACTTGGATGTTTACGTATGTTTCTATATTCTAGCAACATCTATAAACTTATGTTTCTGTCTATACATTCTTATATTTAGAAATTGTGTTTTCTGTGTTTTTAAACAAACTTAATCGACACATGTAAAATTACAACACAATCCCATATACAGGTAAACATAACCACTTTGAACATGTTTCCCCCACTTTTTATATAACAAAGGAAAATGTTGATTTAGGAAGACAATGGCAAACCAATTATAGTCTATTTCATACGTGTAACTTACCTGTGTGAAAGTTACCTGTGTGACTTGTAGCTTTGTTGGGTAAAAAGAAGGTTTTAATACTTTTTTGAGGTTCAAATATCTTTATATGTAATCAATATATTTTTATACTTGTAGAGATTACAGTCAAATATTTACATTACACTTTTAAACAGATAATAAAGAATATAACAGCACTACATAAGAGTTCACAATCTATTACAATTTTAAAATACATTACCAATATTCACATATTAAGAATAGTAAAGTTTAGTAATAGCAATCTCAAATTGACCCCCCTCAAATGTATATCATATCTCCAATTTAAAGTTCAAGTCCAACAGCCAAGAGGCAGATGTTCAAAAATTTTGTTGTCACATTCAAAACATACAAAAATATGTAAATATCAGTGCATAAGCGTAGGATTGCTATTGTAAAGTACTGGCTGCAAATATTAAAGACTAATAACTGTATTTTGAGGGCCTGTTACGATGAACTTTTTAGAGCTTTATAACAGGAAACCAAATTGTAAAGCAAATTGGGTTTATCAACTGAGACGTGATTTGTGTACGTTGGGTTTTGGAGATGTGTGGTTGGTACAATGTGTACCAAATGAGAAATCTTTTTTATTATTATATATACAACGCATAAAGGATAGTTTTATTCAGGAAATGAGAAACATATTCGAGACTTTATTTCAAAATGTTTGTTGTATAAACACATTGTTGACCGTTTTGATCTACAATGGTATTTTACAAAACCGCTATTTAGAAAAAATAAATGTATTCTTGCGAAGTATAGATTGCAAGCACCACATAACCTTAATAAAGAGACAGGTAGATATAATACAGTGCCTCGAAACCAGAGATTGTGTACTTTGTATGTGATCTTGGAGATGTCGAGGATGAGTTTCATTTCATTCTAATGTGTCCTGTATTTTCGTATTCGTCCTTCTGTGTTTAAATTAAAAGAGCTTCTGTCTAGCAAAAATGTTAAACTTATTAGAAATTTAAGTAAGTACTTGATTCAGGCAACTGTTAAGAGAAATTGTATATTATGAAATATAAATATATAAGCTGTATCAAAGTCTTGCTATAAACGTTTTGTTACTGTATAATGCGATTGAGATCTATGTCTTTTACTTCACAATGAGTTATAATCTCATTTCATTATATAATCTATAGTACTCGTTCTACCTTCATGTTGAGGTTGTACTACAAGGACTACAAAATGGATATATTTAATACTGAATATATATATTTATATATATGATTAATATTTAAATAATTTTAACATTTATCATTACAAATCTGAAAAAACGTATATAATGTGTTATTTAATTAAATATGATAAAACACAGGTAAAAACAAAGGTAATTACTGCCAATACTACTGAGAAACAGACTATAATCCTTCCAACAACATTCTTCCCGCCATGTTATTTTAAAAAGTGGGGGAAACGAGAACAAGCCCCTGGACCGTAGTTTTCTCCCCGCCTGGGGCACTTACGTAACTCATCGGGTAAGGCTGGGTGTGTGAAAATCCAGGTGAAGGGGAGCTATAGGCAAACGATTATTACAGTGATCTTTAGACTGTCAAGAATGGGTTTGGCTCCAAGGTAACAGAACATGTAAATAACAATTTGCTAAGTGACCAGAGTTTTACCTGGCCTATGCCTGACATATTGAGCTGATATGTGATACCTTATGACTGTGATGAAAACACAACTGGACGTATAGCATATTTGTTATTTGCATTTGGTATGGCCCATATAGCTTCCCTTCACCTGGATTTTCACACCCGAAGACTTACATAAGTTCCCCAGGGTGGGGGAAACTACGGTCCAGGTACATGTACAAAGTGGCTATGTTTACCTGAATACGGGACTGTGTTGTAATTTTGCATATATCGATGAAGGTCGTTTAAAAATCACCGAAAACACCATTTCTAAATTTATGAAAGAATAGACAGAAAGATAAGCTTATAGATGTAGCTAGAATATAGAAACATACTTTAAAAATCATGTTTATATGTTTAAACAAGATATGTTTATTCCTCAATTTACAACAACCACGTTTGTTATTGCACAACATTCGTCCACCATGCACAAACAATGATAGTCCAATTTTTTATCACTTGCACATCGTGCACACATCATGTAACGTTGTGCGATCCCACAACTGTACCTTTTTAGTCCAGACGAACCCATGTAAGGCAAGAGAGTGAAATCCAAACAGTGTAACCTTTTTAGTCCAAACAGTGTAACCTTTTTAGTCCAAACAATGTAACATTTTTAGTCCAAACAGTAGAACCTTTTTAGTACAAACAATGTAACTTTTTTAGTACACACAGAGGAACCTTTTTAGTCCAAACAGTGTAACCTTTTTAGTCCACACAGAGGAATCTTTTTAGTCCAAACAATGTAACATTTTTAGTCCAAACAGTATAACCCTTTTTAGTCCAAACAGTGTAACCCTTTTTAGTCCAAACAGTAGAACCTTTTAAGTCCAAACAGTGTAACCTTTTTAGTCCACACAGAGGAACCTTTTTAGTCCAAACAGTAGAACCTTTTTAGGCCAAACAGTGTTACCCTTTTTAGTCCAAACAATGTAAATTTTTTAGTCCACACAGAGGAATCTTTTTAGTCCTAACAATGTAACATTTTTAGTCTAAACAGTATAACCCTTTTTAGTCCAAACAATGTAAATTTTTTAGTCCACACAGAGGAACCTTTTTAGTCCAAACATTGTAACCCTTTTTAGTCCAAACATTGTAATCTTTTTAGTCCACACAGTGTAACCCTTTTTAGTCCAAACAGTAGAACCTTTTTAGTCCAAACAGTGTTACCCTTTTTAGTCCAAACAATTTAACTTTTTTAGTCCACACAGAGGAACCTTTTTAGTCCAAACAGTGTAACCTTTTTAGTCCACACAGAGGAATCTTTTTAGTCCAAACAGTAGAACCTTTTTAGTCCAAACAGTGTAACCCTTTTTAGTCCAAACAGTGTAACCTTTTTAGTCCACACAGAGGAACCTTTTTAGTCCAAACATTGTAATCTTTTTAGTCCACACAGAGGAACCTTTTTAGTCCAAACAGTGTAACCTTTTTAGTCCACACAGAGGAACCTTTTTAGTCCAAACATTGTAATCTTTTTAGTCCACACAGAGGAACCTTTTTAGTCCAAACAGTGTAACCTTTTTAGTCCACACAGAGGAACCTTTTTAGTCCAAACATTGTAATCTTTTTAGTCCACACAGTGTAACCCTTTTTAGTCCAAACAGTGTAACCTTTTTAGTCCAAACAGTGTAACCTTTTTAGTCCACACAGAGGAACCTTTTTAGTCCACACAGAGGAACCTTTTTAGTGGAGACGGTGGAACTTTGTTGGTTCAGACAGTGGAACTTTTTGTTTTCGACTGTGGAATCTTAGTCCAAATAGTGGAACATTAATTGTTAGTCTGGAAATTAAAGTGCAACCTTTCTTTGTCTAGACAGTGGAACCTTGTCTGTCCAGAAAGTAAAACAATCATCATTTAGGAAAGTGCAAGTCCGAAGGCTTTAATTGTGTATTGATATAAAAAGGATGTGAATAATTATGGAAATTTGCGTACAATCCAATTGTAATTCTTTTTGTAATAAAAGTGATTAAAATCATACTAGTGTCTAAAACTGTGGGGCCATTCCTAACAGAGTTTGAGAAAAAATAGTGGATAATTTGAAATATCAAGAATGGTAATCAAAATAAATGTAAAATTTAATTTTAAAATATATTTAATGAACAATTAAAAATTAACAAGTATATTGATTTAGAAAACAATTAATTAGGCTGACTGTAAAATATTGACCGTCCCTCCACCTTGAAATTTGGGAGTTAAAAATCTTCTTTTATTTTTTCCCCACAATAAAAAGATTGATAGTTAATAATGAACAATTCTAAGGTATTGAAGAAAGCATAACTTTATTTACTTCTTTAATATAATACACTAATATAATACGCTAATATCAAAAGTTAAATCAGCTTAAATGTCTTAAGATTTCTTTTTTCTTTTTTGGTGTGCCAACATTTTTGGGGTCAGCAGAACATAGTCCAAGTCGATCGGTCTAAATCAAACAAACTTGATTTTATTTTCGACCAAAGTTGGATGTTCTTTGAACTTTATACACTGTGTTTGTTCATGTAACAAAAACGATGAACACAGAGGCAATGTCTCCACTAGTTTATTGTATTTATTATATGGAACGGGTTCTCTTAATGTTACATAATGTTATTTACTTACATTAATTCCAAATGAATATACATTTCCTACATCGGAATATTGTGTCTGCATAATCAATAATGTTTGCTTTTGTTGTTGTGAGTTCATAGTGTCATAAATTATGAAACCTTTCAAACAAACGTATAATACATACATGTTCTTCTACTTTTCCTGCTCATTAGCCCAGAAAGATGAAACATGGCGATAGATGGGAGAAGACTATTGGTACCATCAAACCATTAGGATCTGGGCAAGTCATTATCAGTGTTGGTTCCTAAGTAAATATGCAACAAAGCTTTAACATTCGTGGGCACTCAGTGCAAATTGTGCATCAGTGGCAACGATGGAGGAGAACCAGTATATTTTGGTAGATGTATATCACAGACGTAGAAAAATAAATATCTGCTTTGTCCATAGTGATGATGTATTTTCTTACAGTAACTGTTATTCTATTTTCTGAAAATATGATTGAAGACTAAAAAATCCGAAAATTTCTTCACTATTTCCATAAAAGTTTGTATATTGATTTTTTCTCTCTCAAATACATGATTAAAGAAATCTATTGAGAATGACTAGAACGGTTTCCAGTGAGACGATCTGGACCCGTATTCATGAAACCATTCCATGCTCAAACTCAGATTCGGTACTCAATCCCAATTTCTTGTTTGGGTTATAAATTGATAAAAAAAAAACATTTTCTCAATGATTTGGAAAAGTTCTAGAGAGAATATAAGCTGAATATTGTGTCCTTAACCTATTGGTAGTGTCACATGAATATGGGCCCTAAAGGAACTGTGAGTATTTATTTCTTTTGCATCTTTTTCCAAAATTAAAGAGAATTTCTACAATAATTACACATCACAGTAAAGAGAAATTTAGAGTACATGTATTAAAATACTGAAACATTGTTCAGGAGTAACATATTTAAATGTACGCTAATACAAGGTCAGAGGTTAAACAGAAGGAAAGAGAAACACGTGACTATGAGCTCGTGCCTCCTGCTCTGATGTCATTAAATCCGTTCAGATTGGGAACGTGTGTTACTTTGCTATAATAGTGTATAGTTAAATGATTAAATATCAGCTGGGTGTTGATTTAGTACAACTCAAGACCAATGGTTGTATTTATAGATTACAGAATCAAGGAACAGTACGAAGATGAGATGTAAAGAAGATTATTTAGTTATGCAAAGATTTGACAAGATGAGTGACAAGATAGCTTAAAATGAAGGGTCCACATTAAAAGGATAAAAAGTAAGAGATAATCACAGGAGGAAACTGGTACAACAAAGATACTCCACACCACTACCTGAGATATCACCAGACATTGTATCAGTATATTTCAGTTGTTATGTCACGCAATATTGAGTGTTGTCAGTTCTGATAGTTCAACTTCAGGAAGTTCAATAATCAGGAAATTTAATAATCAGGAAATCTGATTATCAGGACTTTTTATAATTTAGTAGTTAGTTGAAGGGCACGTATTGGTTGGAAGGAGCTGAATTAAAGTGATCAAGGTGATATGTTGCATCCCCTCCGAAACTGTTTTTTTTTCTCACAATAAGATACTTTTCCTATGCAGGTAAAATTTCAAATTATACCTTCACTGACTTTTGCTATATACCCCTTTACATTATGTGTTTTTAGCTCGCCTGTTAGGAGAACAGAGAGCCAAAGCGATACCCCCAGAATGAACATGTTAAAAGTTTTACATGCAAGTTATTTAGAACCTTGTCATTCATTAAATATGTGTTCTAGGATGCTGATATTTGGCATGGAGGTTCCTGTGGGGTATGATATTGATGTAGTGAAGTGAAAATTCAAATATAATTTCATTCAGATTTTGAAATTTTTTGACCTGTTTTGTACCTTCATCAGCGTTTAATTTTTAACTGCAAGTTATTTAGAAGCTTGCCATTCATTCAATATGCGTTCAAGGATGATATTTGTCATGAAGGTTCCTTCTGGCTACACTTTTGATGTAGCAAAGGAACAATTAAAAAATAAAATTTTTGTTTTGTTTTTGATCTTAACATTTTAAGAGCATATTAGCATTACAAACAATATTTCTTTCTTACAATATACAAATACATGTATTGATTTAAAGGGACATCACATGAAGAGCCATATTTTTTTTAGTGAATGTATATATTGTTTGCACTTCCACTTATGTTACCTTGCTATTCCCATATTCATAGTCCGTTCCAAATGTCCAGTCTGACCACTTGAATTGTTCGGGAAAGCCCTGCTAAAAATAGCGCTAATAACGTCACCTGACTCGGCAGTAAACACAAGTGGTCTGAGCGAGATGAAACGATTTCCAGAGGGGCCCCCAGAGAGGGGCCGTTAGGCAACTGCAACTTCTTACCGCGCTATGAAACCAAGTAATATGATTTCTGAGTCCGTATTCAAACTTATTGAACAGTAATTATTCATGATCAGAAGTTAATTGCACACTTGCCAATATTCAGAAATTTAAATTTATTTAGCTTTAAACATATTTGTTGACAATAAAATTGAACAAGGGATGGGGTACACATTTTTACAATTTCTCACAGCCTTCTCCCGGGTACGGGGCTAAACACCTTCCCTCAACCATGGGACAAACCTTTCTGGGTTTTTTTTTTATATATTGCCGGGGCAGAGGAGGCCGGGTATTCATATTAGTACTGATTTAAATCTTGTATGTTAAACCAAAAATAATCGTTTAATTCAGCAATATAATCAAATCATACTATTTTACTGAACCCAGTTATATTATAAATTATGTAAATCTAATAGCGCACGTATCTTGAAGACCCCGAAAGTACGCCGTGGGCCTTCACAACAGTTATGCCTTGGAGGGCCTCATGGCAAAATCAAACTAACCAGTCACTTATCCCTTCCTTTCGCATAAACCACTGTATAATCATAGAAACAAAAAGTAAACTCTCTCCGATAAATGCCCATTGACATATTAAACTAAGTTCATCTGTGTTCAAACTCAGACAAAGATACTAGCGAGCTTAATAGTTTTAGATAGTTATTCATAACATAAACAGCGCTAGCATTTCTGTAGATTCTATTTCAGCTTAACCGGCTATCCGGAAGAATACATGCACCATACTAACTGCTAGGGCAGTTATTTTCTCCTTTGAATACTGTCCACCTGCAATAATGATTGCGTAACGTACTCCTTGCGCTATCTTTTGACCATTTGGCAACTTTTTGTTTCGTAGCTGACACGGTACAACACTTTTCTTTTGCTTACTTCACACGGCCAGTCATTTTGTTTACAAAGAAATGGTGTGCTATACGCATGCGCTAGTAGAGGGAAATCCCTGAACAAAACGTTGGTCAGACAGGTAGAAATACCGATGATTTTCTTAGATTTAATCATTTTTATGAATCTATTTCAGCCAAATCCGATCATTATTTTCCATAAGGAGTCTCACTTGATATGTTTATGTAGTATTTGAAAAAAAGACAAAAAATAAAGTTACTTCACCGTGATGCCCCTTTAAAATTGTGTGGCTTGGACTTCTCTGCAGTAGTAAGGGCACTCGCTTTGTGCTGGTAGACTGGTGCTAGAATTCGCTTTGTGCTGGTAGACTGGTGCTAGAATCCACGGTCACAGGATCGAATCCAGGTCGGGTAAAAACCTAAGACTTTAAAATAAGGCAATCTTCTCACTTCCTGCTAGGGATAATGTGACCGAGTGAAGTATCATGTCAATGTGTGTGCAGCATGATATTTCAGTGTGACAGCACTATAAAGTCACCATAAGTCTACATGTCGCAAGCAGACATCGTCTCAATATGACCTATACATGAGTTAAAGGGACGCTCAACCTCAATAAACAAACAAATCTTTAAAGACGATACCTTTTTAAACAGACCAGCATTGGGTGGCACACAAATCTCTAAAGACGATACCTTTTAAACAGACCAGCATTAGGTGGCACACAAATCTCTAAAGATGATACCTTTTTAAACAGACCAGCATTGGGTGGCACACAAATCTTTAAAGACGATGCCTTTTAAACAGACCAGCATTGGGTGGCACCCAAATCTTTAAAGACGATACCTTTTTAAACAGACCAGCATTGGGGGGCACACAAATCTCTAAAGACGATACCTTTTTAAACAGACCAGCATCGGGTGGCACACACCTTTTTAAACAGACCAGCATTGGGTGGCACCCAAATCTCTAAAGACGATTCCTTTTTAAACAGACCAGCATTGGGTGGCACACAATTTTTTAAAGACGATACCTTTTTAAACAGACCAGCATTAGGTAGCACACAAATCTCTAAAGACGATACCTTTTTAAACAGACCAGCATTGGGTGGCACACAAATCTTTTAACACGATACCTTTTTAAACAGACCAGCATTGGGTGGCACACAAATCTTTAAACACGATACCTTTTTAAACAGACCAGCATTAGGTGGCACACAAATCTCTAAAGAAGGTTCCTTTTTAAACAGACCAGCATTGGGTGGCACACAAATCTTTAAACACGATACCTTTTTAAACAAACCAGCATTGGGTGGCACACAAATCTTTTAATACGATACCTTTTTAAACAAACCAGCATTGGGCAACACAAATCTTTAAAGACGATTCCTTTTCAAACAGACCAGCATTAGGTGGCACACAAATCTCTAAAGATGATACCTTTTAAACAGACCAGCATTGGGTGGCACACAAATTTTTAAATACGATACCTTTTTAAACAAACCAGCATTGGGCGACACAAATCTTTAAAGACGATTCCTTTACAAACAGGCCAGCATTAGGTGGCACACAAATCTCTAAAGACGATCCCTTTTAAACAGCCCAGCATTGGGTGGCACACAAATCTTTAAGGACGATACCTTTATAAACAGACCAGCATTAGGTGGCACACAAATCTTTAAAGACGATACCTTTTAAACAGACCAGCATTGGGGGGCACACAAATCTCTAAAGACGATACCTTTTTAAACAGACCGCCCTTGGGTGGCACACAAATCTTTAAAGACGATACCTTTTTAAACAGAACAGCATTGGGTGGCACACAAATCTTTAAAGACAATTCCTTTTTAAACAGACCAGCATTGGGTGGCACACAAATCTTTAAATACGATACCTTTTTAAACAAACCAGCATTGGGCAACACAAATCTCTAAATACGATACCTTTTTTAACAGACCAGCATTGTCGGCACACAAATCTTTAAAGACGATTCCTTTTCAAACAGACCAGCATTAGGTGGCACACAAATCTCTAAAGACAATACCTTTTAAACAGACCAGCATTGGGTGGCACACAAATCTTTAAAGACGATACCTTTTTAAACAGACCAGCATTAGGTGGCACACAAATCTCTAAAGACGATACCTTTAAAACAGACCAGCATTGGGTGGCACACAAATCTTTAAAGACGATACCTTTTAAACAGACCAGCATTGGGTGGCACACAAATCTCTAAAGACGATACCTTTTTAAACAGACCA